TAAGTTAATAACACTGAGGAGCATTTTTTTAAAATTTTCTATTAAGTGAGATTTATGATTGGATCTTGGATATTTTTACGTCATTGATTTCAAATCTGCAATTGATTTTTCTCCAAAAACTACAGTTTTTTTTCCTTCAATGAATTATTCCATTTTTTTTTTGTCGAAATGTACAAGTTTAAAAATAATATCTGTAACAGGGGGTCGCCTAAATGCTTTGACAACCTCGAGGGGAGCTAGGACACATCATCATCAGGATTAAAATTTCATAGGAATCCATGTGCGGAAATACCGTCATACGCCGGGCGCTTCCCTATTATCAACAACTGTTTCTTCCTGTGCTTTTGAACAGGTCATAATAGGGAAGCGCCCTTAGTGCAAGATATTTCTGGACATGGGTTCTATGCAGTTTTAATCCTGATGATAATGTGTCCTAACTCCTCTAAAAGTTTGTCGCCGGGTTTTTAAACTTCTACATTTGACAGAAGATTGACTAAAAATGTCATTTAAATGGAAATCTGTAGTTATAAGAGCAAAACTAATTTCAGATTTGAAAACCCCACATCTAAATTATTCAAGATCAAGTATTCGTATAAAGGCAACCGAAAATTATTTATTATTCATTCAGAAAATATATAGCTATAGACGTTTTGAGAAAAATCAGAATTCAAGGGTGTTTCCCTCTTATAGATACTCATTATTTGATAGGAACCTCCCCCAACACATGAGTCATGAATTACTCATCGTCATCGATATCGATTCATTCTTTTTCTCTGGATATCCAGTAAACATCTCCGACAGCAATTCAATAACATAATGAATTTCAAGTCCTATAAAATCCTATATTTTAAATTATCCAATATCATCTCCAATAGCAATTCAATAACGATGAATTACAAGTCCTGTTTTAAGTCCAATAATTATTTTAAAGTTCAATAAATTATTGCAAGATAATGTATGTATTACTTCAACTATATACTTTCATATCATTCGTAAATTCTACAGTTATTCAAAATTAACTGCTTTCTTTCATCGAAATATAGCATCAGGGGACATTTTAAGTGAGGTTTGGGTCTGTTAAAGAAGTTTTCAGATAAATGTTTCATGGTTAAAACGGGTGCTACACAAAATGTTTTGCCACTGAAACGGAAATTTCACAAGTTATTTTACCGTTAAAAATGCACAGCAACACAAATTATTAGCAGCTTACCAAATTAACTAAAAAGGAATCCTTCTCAAAATTCCTTTTTTGGAAATTATTTTTTTCGAAAATTTTGGAATGGAGTAATTGAGATAAGTCAATTCTTTTTATACATAATTTTAAGACTATAACTCCTTAAAAGACAAGATTTATTTATTTATTTTCTTTTTTTTTAAAAGAAAAATAGGACATCTTATATTTAGATAATCTCACCCCCGTATCAAAAACCTGATTCACAGACGATTTAAAATTTTTGATTCGAAAATTATGAGTACATTTTTCACAAATTCTCCAAAATAAAATCGTTTATTAAAGGTCTGAACAAACCATTGATTTTTATGACTGTTCCCAAAATTAGGACCTTACTTTCACAAAATTATGAGTTGATAGTTCACAAGTTAACAAAAACAAACCATTCACAAAAAGTCTGGACCTATCTCTAACTAATTATAAATATTTTTTTACAGTCTAATGGAATTTTAATGAATATTTTTCATAAGTTTGAAATATTAATTAAATATATACTTAAAAATTTTATTTTCTGGAATTTAGACTTTATGTCTTTATTTAAATTTTATAACACAAAAGTACTTTTAAGTATGTTATATAATTGTATTATGACTTTTAAGAAGAATCAGAATATTCATTAAAAGTTGGTTTTCATGAGATTCAAAGTAAACGTTGCATATTAATCAGTTTTTAAAAGAAGTATCTATTTACATTTTAATAATATTTAATTATATCGAATTCATGTTTTACGACCCGAATCAAATCCTTCATTAAATTCTCGTAATGGTTAAAGTAGTGCTTTTTCCAACGCTCTTAACTTTTTCTTCTAGAGCAGTGTTTCCCTAACTTATAACTTTTCTGTGCCCTTTCTAAATTTTTCATAACGCTGTGTACCTCTAATAAAAAAATGAATGTATTTCTTATTATATAAAAATTGCACAAAAGTTAAAAATCACAACTGGCTGTTGATACCGCTAATTATTAGCTGTTAACTCTGCTAAAAATAGCCAATAGAAAAATGCGTAATCTAAATTTTTATGGGTGGCTTTATTTTTAAATAAAAAGTTTTTGAAATTTTCGTTTGTTGCAAAATATTTCGTGGGGGTACGTGTATCACACTTTTGGAAGCACTGTTCTAGAGCAACGCTCTTTTTCTCTTCAGAGCTTTTTTCCGTGGTTCTAGTAAAAAATGTCACTCATTGCATAGAAATTCACAAACTCTGAGTGTCTGTAGCAAAAATGTGTAGTTGTTGTTTCTCATAAAAGCAAACTCTATTAAAATAAATAAAATTTAAGCAGTATTCTATTAAATTTATTAAAAATTGAGCATTATTCTAAGAAAATTAAACGATATTCCATGAAAATTAATTTTTGTCAATATTTTAAAAACCTGACGTGATAGAGTAAAATGGTTTTCAGAATTAAAATTTGCTGAACAAACTACATTAGAAAAGGTAAACACCATGTCATATATTTATAGCTTGTTTATCAGTGTTATTCGTATCGTCAGTACTCGTCATAAAACAAGTATATAGCCATCCATAATATTAGAATACATTCATTTATAAAACCTGTTATACTAATAAATATACTAATTCGAAGGAAATTATTTAATTTTTAAATATTCTTTCACACTCTCGATTAATTATGACTTCAAATTTCTAAGCGTTTTCAATATAAACTGAAGAGTTCAATAATGCGTAATTTTTTTTAAAAACTGTTATTAAGAAATTAGTACTAATTGATTCTCAAGTGCTAGAATATATTATTGGAAACCGTAAAGGGTCTATGAAACTAGTCTATTTATTTTATATTTGAAATCATATATTAGATTTGATTTTATGGATTATAAAATATAATAAGATTCCTTAGATTATAGAATATAATGGTTTTCTTTACACCATTTTCAAAAATAAAGTTTTAGTTGCTATTTAAGGCAAATCTTTTATAAATAAGGAAATACAATGAAGTTAGCTTTTGCGTTAGGTTGCTGTATCGAGAAATTGTTGAGGAATAAATTGCTACCCAAAACATGGTCTCAGAATATGGAATAAATACACAATAATTAGTTAAAATTAGAATATATTCATTTATAAAACCTATTATACCAATACATATACTAATTAGGAGGGAAATATTCAATTTTATATATTCTTTAACACTTTTGAATCTTGATTAATTATGAATTCCACTCTCTAAACGCTTTTCTTTTAAATTTCTTTGATATTTCTGAAGAGTTGAGCAATACATACATTATTTTTTTACTCTTGTTAAGAAATTAGTACTAATTGATTCTCAAGTGCTAGAATATATTATTGGAAACCGTAAAGGGTCTGTGAAACTAGTCTATTGATTTTATATTTGAAATCATATATTAGATTCGATTTTATAGATTATAAAATATAATAAGATTCCTTAGATTATAGAATATAATGGTTTTCTTTACACCATTTTTAAAAATAAAGTTTTAGTTGCTATTTAAGGAAAATCTTTTATAAATAAGGAAATACAATGAAGTTAGCTTTTGCGTTAGGTTGCTGTATCGAGAAATTGTTGAGGAATAAATTGTTACCCAAAACATGGTCTCAGAATATGGAATGAATACACAATAATTAGTTAAAATTAGAATATATTCATTTATAAAACCTATTATACCAATACATATACTAATTAGGAGGAAAATATTTAATTTTATATATTCTTTAACACTCTTGATTAATTATGATTTCCATTCTCTAAACGCTTTCCTTTTAAATTTCTTTGATATTTCTGAAGAGTGAAGAGTTGAATAATACATACATTGTTTTTTTACTCTTGTTAAGAAATTAGTACTAATTGATTCTCAACAGCTAGAATATATATTATTGGAAATTGTAAAGGGTCTATGAAACTAGTCTATTGATTTTATATTTGAAAACATATATAAGATTTGATATAATAGATAATAATAAGATAATAATAGATATGATGGAATATAATACAATTCTTTAGGTTACAGAACATTATAAATTTGATTAGGTTTTTACGTCATTTTTTAAAATAAAATTTTTGCTGTTATTTAAGGCTACTATATTGGAGTTAGCTTGTTGTATAGAGCAATTACTGAAGAATAAATTGTTACCCAAAAAAGTGTCACAAAATGCATTGCATTAAAAATTGCTTTCGAAAATCTATCTTTCAAGGAATCTTAAACACTTTAAAATCATTTTTACAAATAATAATGTTCTCTTTGTCAACGATGTATCTTTTTTTTAAAATAAGATAAGGCATATGAAATGGAAAATTTATGAGTTACAAGTTGTTTTAAAGCATCTTTGTTAAGTTGTTAAAAAATTTAAAATTCGTTACACTTCAAAATACCTTACTCTTAAGGAGATAAAAAAGGTAGCATAGTTCCAGAAATAAATTTATGAAAAGTAAGTTTTCTTGTACTATTGATGCCGAATTGTTGATGATACCCAAAAGCTTCCCAATATGTATTTTAATGGAGACATAAAACACAACTTTATGCAGAACGTCGTTTTTAATTATCATTAAGGCATTCTTAATTGAATAAAACAATTCGTGTCTAAAGGAAATTATAACATCGAATTGCTAAGCATTTAACAGTATTATTTTGTAAGCTATTCAGAAATAGAAAATAATATTCATACTACGCAAAAATAATGCAAAATTTTTTAAAAAGATAAAACATAAATGTAGATAAGTCATTAAATAAATTTATGAAATTAATCATTTAAATATACTAAGTTTCAACAAAAAAAAATAAAATAAATAAATCTTACCTCACCATTCGAGAATAACTGTTATACGGCCAGTATACAAGATCAGTTCTTTAGTTGCAAATTCAATTGCAGAATGACTTATAACTTAGAGAGCATGGCATATTGTGGTCCAAATGATGTGTAAACGAGTTGTCCATGCAGATAGGTTCCTTTTTCATTCATAGAAAATGCCTAATTCATTCTTTAGCCAGAGGTTAAACTCATTCGGTAAACATAACGCATCGTCCAAGAAGATCAACGACTTGGGCGAAGTTGTTGAAGATGAGATTTGAGAGGAGAGACCTACTAGACTGTGGAGACTGGTTCTAGTTTGTTTAGAAAAGGGATTCTCAACCTCTCACGCGGTTCTCAAAAATAAATGGTTGGTGCCGCTAGGAGGCCTGATTCTAAGGGGCTATTCCCATAATTCTTTGCCGTTCATTTAATTATTTGTTCGACTTTAACGATATAGAATGGTCTATTATTTGAAAAATGTTAAAACTATCATTGATATGAATACACCCTAATAATAAAAATTAATTAAGAGCGACGAAATGCGTTGAAATGGAAAAATGTGCCGACATTATATGCAAACTGATATACGCACCTCACTTGACAATGGATTGTTAAATTTTAAGTTGAATAAAATTTTGCACCTTTAAATAATGTCTGAAAATCACTAATTTTCATTCGAGTCAGTTATGAATGTAGTTTCTATTATATTTAGGTGTTTTTGATAGCATTTATTATTTTTGATTGATTGAATGATCAGTGTTTATTCTGCGTCTATTTCATCCAATGTTACGTCATTTCATAATGAATACTTTAAAAAAAAGAAACCTATCAAAAAAAAAAGAAAAAAGAAGCAAACTACCATATTAATATAATTAATAATATTTAGGTTAAACAGATAAAAATTTGACGAATTTATGGGCCCCATATTTAGCAAATAACAGAGGGGAAATTTGAAAATTAAGTATTTTATTCTGATATTCTTTTTTTATTTATTTTGCACCCCCCTAGGGCTGAGCCCCGGGGAGGATGAGCCCTCATGCCCCCCGCTAGCTACGCCACTGATCATTGTCGATGAGCAATAGGGATATGAACTGGAGAACCGAGCCACCCCACCTAAATGGGTTAGGCAAATTTTCCTATAAAAATTTGTCGAAATTTTTCGAAATGCTTATTGTTCAGTTTTAAAAAAATAATTCAAATTATTATTTTTAAAAATTAGTATTTTTGAGTAATTTATTACGAGTATTTTTGTTGTAAAAAGTACATTGTGAACAAAAAAGAATTCATTAAATGGATGTCTTTTATTTTCCCCTGCTGATTATCTTGCCATATTGATAAAAAATTTTTACCGCTGGTTAAGATTATTCGAGTGCACAGGGGTGGGAATGGAGGGGAGGGGAACACCTTGATTAGATGCTCCTTAAAAGAGGGTTACCATTACTGACAGAGGCAAATAAAACCCTTATTTTAATAAAAAATAAGGCACACTGGAAAAATATATAATAATAAAAATCTATACGCTAAAATACTTTTTTAACCGTAGGTTCAAGTGGAAAATATTCTACTGTCAAAAATTATTTCTAATCGAGGTCTGCAATATTTCAATGCTTCAAAACTTCATAATTCAAATTGATTAATAATCTTATTATATTCTTCATAAAATACTTTTTTGGCACTAAGTATTTAACAAAAAGAATTTTAATTTAATATTCGAAATAACATTAATGGATTTAAAGGTTTAGTGAAAGAGTTATGTCTTTGGAGTTGAGAATACTATATAAAACAGCTTTTTACTATTTAATTTTTTTCCCTTTCGGTTATAGTAAATAAATGTTCCTCTTCTCTATAATTTTCGGAGATGGAAGAGAAAAAAAGTAATTCATTACGAAACAATTATTTTATACTTCATAATGAATAGTAAAATTATTAATTTATATTTTTAAATCAGTTGACGTACGTTTAAATTTGAAATTGAGAAATTTTTATGTGCGATTTTTGTAATGAAAAATTGTTATTTTTCGGAATGGAATTTTACCTAGATTGGACGGACGGTTTTACTGAATGTCTGGGACAGTTTCCATCCTGTTCCCTCCTTGTCCCTTGACTTATACTGATAACCGGAAAGTGTATAATTTAACTGCAAAAAATATTTGTTCTTTTATCGAAAAGTATACAGTTTTATTGTTGAAAATATCCGATTAATTTTTTTATTGCAAAGTATTCTTTCATAGAGGAGATTAATTTAAACTAGATTAATTAATTATTTTCTCGTGTAATCAAATTATTTTATCTGTGTTCAGTGTTTTTCTTGTGGGTGCAAAGCATTTTTTACCTAAGTACAAACCAACCAGATAAAGTTCGTGTAATAAGAAATAATCCCCTACAAATTAATAAAATGCGAAGCTTATTCGAATTTTGTTCTCGGTCCCCGTGTCGTTTAGTTGTCTTGAAACGGCCTGAGTTCCCGCTGAGTTGATTGAGAAGAAATTCTCGGAGGATTTTCTTTCTCTTCAAGGAACGAGGGGGCTGTCTTATCCGAACTTCAATTTTCACAGCAGGGCTTATATTTCACGATTTTTTTTTTGTAATGTTTTTTAAGCTGAAAAGCATTTTGTGCAATACTTCACTTTAAGCAGAATTGAAAATACCCTGGTTGGTTGGTGTTAGTTGGATGTAACGAAAAATAAATAAATAAGAAATGTGTATGTACATAAATTCACAAAAAGCTATGCTTTAAATTCTTAAAAAACAATAAAATAAATTTATGAAAATGTATGGTTTTGAAGGTATTTGTGATTGAAATTAAATAGAAAGTACCATTTCCCGATTCCAGTGAACTAATTTCTTTTTTCCATTAAGTAGCGTGATTTGCAACGAAATAATTTCAATTCAGACAATTACATAACAAACTTCTATGTTTTGATTTTCTATGATATTCAAGTGAAAGCTCTTATCAACTATATTACCAAACTGTGAATTAAATTAGATGTTAGTTGAAAATTATAATGTATAAATTTATATGGGCAAATCTAAACTTCAATTTTTTGTATATTTTTTTTATTGAAAACTACGTGGTAACAAACTTTTCTTGCGATATTGTATGAAGATCCATTTTCAGATGTTGAGCCTGTGTACCAGAAGACCTATCTGAAAATTGTATAAAAATATTTATTAATTTATAGTTAAAAATTATAAAGTTAAAAAGGTAGAGAAAACATGGAAAGTATTATAATAAAGATTAATGAAAAGAGGAGGAAAATTAGGATGTAATAAAAATTCTCTTAATAATGACAAATTAAAAGTACATTTTATTTCTAACATGGAAAAAAGATTTTAATAAGCATTATAATTTTAAACCAATGAAAGATTTTGTTTTCTCTCTTAATAATGATATGATTATAAGTTTCAAGATCTTATTATTAACTTTATTAGATCTTATTATTAATTCACTCTTTAAATTTCTTTGTTTCGATCTTGCAAAAGTTAAAATAAGTCAAATTTCACCAAATAAAAAGAAAAATTTAGATAATTTATATTTCGTTATTAATTTTCAAAACCCTATTTCCAATAAGATTAAATTTCATAACATTTTCGAAAATTGAAAAAATTTGTTTCCATTAAAAGACTTTAACACGATTAAAATATTCAATTATAATAAATATTTTAGTCGACCTATATTTAATTATAATGATATTAGCAACACTTTAGAGAAAATAAATACATACGATACTGTATATATCACACTATCGTATTGATATATTTTGCTTCCACCACTGATGAGAATTCACGTGCATTGCAAAAATAATAAGTTTTTAATTAAAATTCATCACAAAAATAGATATTTCAATATGCATAAACTAATGAAAATATAATTGAATAATAAAAAAGTAATGCAAACATCGTTCATAATACATATTTTTAATTTCATCATTGATTATATAATTTATAAAAAATGTAATTTGAAATAATTAACTTAGTTAAGAATAAGTTTGAGGAATGAATGTATTTTTGTTTTTAGTAAAAAGGGGGCTCCTTTGCTTACTCGGTAACTCTCACCAAACCCTGGAACTGCTTACGCAGTTCATTTCAGATCACTTAACTGGTTGTTTCCGCTTTAGTCTCATTTAACACTCTGGATTTTATACTTCAATATCTCTAAAACTTTATTTTAATGTTATTAGAGACTACGACGCTCCCAACTCGCTCCCAACTCTGGATTTATCTGCCATAATGCAGATAAATCCATGCAAACTGAAAATGGTTAATTCGAACAAAAAAGAATACGTTACGATAACTTTAACTGTAAAAATTGTAATATGATAGCGACCCGAATTAGGTGTTGAATAACACTAAAAATTGTGTGTTATTTCAAGTTTATACCGAATCGAAGTTTATACCATATACACTTTAAAGGGGGCTGTTTAATATCAACACCAGAAACTGATATAGTTTAAAACAAGCTCAAATGCATTCCTTCCATTCATGAATTATTTTCCCCAATGTTGGCGTACGTTTGGAAACAGTCAGATTACCAACATTTTTTGTTTACAGTCGAACAGAGAAGGTGAAAGTTTGACTTATTCTTATACGATAATGTACATTTCATAGGCCGGGATAGCCTGATTGGTAGGGCACTGGGCTCATGTTCAAGAGTTCGTGGGTTTGATCCCTGCCGACCGAAGACTCCCGTGTAGTAAATAGTGACTGATGCACGTTAAATCTGTCGAGTCGCAAAGTCCTCCATGTTCCCACAACAAATCAATACCTCTAGAGTTACTGGTCCTTGAGTTTCCTTGTCTTTTGAATTGGTTCCAAATTACAAGGCTATGGAGTTGAACATTAGTAGTCGTAAATCCAAAATTGGGCAGGGTGTTCAACGACGAAAACTTTACGCCATGTAATTTAACATTCTTGGCGTAGAAAAAACTTATAGGTATAAGAGTTATATATGGTATTAAACTTTGTATAAAGTAGTTGCCACTATTTTTGATAGTCACATGCACTAAAAATTTTTATACTCAGTAAAAGATTTTGGTGCACAATTGGTACAATTTTTTGTATTGAGCTAAATTTACAGTAGTACAAAACTGTGGTTATTGTGCAAAAAACTATATAAAATGGATAAAATGACAATTGTTTTGAAAAATTTCAGCGAATATATTAAGAAAAATATGCTTGTTTTAAAACAAAGTGTTTCTGAAATGAAACCATTACATTGATTCTCAAGAGTATGAAAATGTGTGTTGTCAGTTAACAAACAAAACATGAATAAATAAATGAAACTGTAACAGTAAAAAAGTAAATGAAAAATGTTACCATATGCACTGTAAAAAAAATGTAGTTAACCTCAACACCAAAAATGGTGGCAACTATGCACCA